AAGGCATGCACAAAAGTTTTTAATTTTACTACCCTAACCCTTTTTCCTTCTATACCCTGTGGTTTTTGTTGCATAATTTTCCAGTATGGTCATTCTTTTTATTTTTTTTCATTTATTTATTTTTATATTCATGTGCATTTTGCCTTCATGTATGTTAAGTGCCCCTGTGTCATGCAATGCCTGCAGAGGCCAGAAGGGGGTGTCGGATCCCCTGGATCACCATGCTGCCAAGATTTATTTATGTGTAAGCAGGGCATGATGGTGTACTCGGAGGCAAAGGCAGGTGATCTCTGGGAGTTCAAGGCCGGCCTGGTCTACATAGTGAGTTCAGTTCAGGCCAGATGGGGCTACAGGGAGACCCTGTCTCAAAAAGACCGAAAAAAAAAAAAAAAAAAAAAAGTGTTTTTTTTTTTTGAGATTAGAAACTCAAAATATTTTCTAAGTACCTCCTTCAGTGAAAGTGGTTAAATTTAAAGCAAGATAAACAGCAGATAAAAGATGAGAGAAGTTAAGAGCCAGGCATGTATGTTAAAACAAAGTGATCAGAGACAAGAGGATCATTACTTCCTCTGAGTAGAACTAAAGTGAAAACTTACTATGGATTATAAAAAGGAATAAAAAGCTGAAGTTGAGTTCTTACCTCAAATAGGAGGCAAGTTCACATGTAAATAATATGGAAAAAACAACGGTGTATAAAGAACTGTTGAGAAAAATGGAAAAAAGCTAACCAATAACAAGGTTGACAGCAAAGTCTTGTTGAGGAAAGGGGAGCAGGGTGCACATGTACAAACACTTAGATATAAAACTCATTGACTCAGATGAGTTTAGGTTTGGGATTGGTTTTTTGTTGTTGTTGCTTTAGTTGTTTTCGTCTAGTCCTTCTTCCACACTGTTGCCAGCTATTTTTTCTTAAACACATACCTGATGACATTTTCATATTTGAGGGTAGCTGACAGCCAACCCATGTCTAAAGAATAAAATTCGACTTCTTTAACAAGACATTCCAACGAACTTCAACCTGTTTAAGAATTTGTATTCCAATCACTCCTTAAAATATACTATGTATCTCATACTAAATCCATATCTGATCTCAGTACCCTTAAAAAAGCCCTATACGCCTCTGTCGATTCATATGATTTCTTCTGTTCCAAAATGGAAGTTTTCTATATCTGAAAACTGTCTAAACCCAGGGCAAAATTTGATTTTTTTCTGAATTGCTACATTTTTCCACATATAACTCTTAACTTGATGATAGTTATTTGTATACAGCGTCTAATCTGTAAGGTTATATTTTTCATAAGAGTGTATTTATAGTTCAAACTTCTCTGAGACCATGTAATCAAAAACAATAATCACTGCAACCAAATTTATGCCAATGGGTGGCCTTGAAAAAAATCAAATATAAAAAGACCCCAGAGAGCTAGGCCCAGTATGGTGTAGGCCTTCTAAGGAGACAGAGATAGGAAGACCAAGAGTTTAAGAATAAGTTTAAGAACAACTCTATCTACAATAGAAAGTTTGAGACCAGATTAGTCAACATGTTACCAGGTTTGAAAAAACTGCACAAACATGAAAAAAGTGACTGAGAAACAAAAATGGAATACTAAAATACAAACTGTAATTGAAATTTAAAACAGGTGGACTTAATGCAGTCAAACTTGGCTGAATAAAATCAAAGAGTACATATAGTTTTCCAGAATGTATGCGGAAGAGTTCTAGGGATTAAAAACTTAAAGAGAGTAAGAGACATGAAAACACAAGTAAGATGACTGACTATAGCATGCATCTAAAGATATACCATTTTTCAGAATTAAGTTCAAACTCATAATCATAAAGCACAACAAATTCCAAAATAGATAAAAAGAAATCTACAACTGACAGGTCATGAGTAGACTATAAACTATCAAACATAAAAATTGCATTTTTAAAACAATTAGAGAAAGATTACCTTCAAATTAAACATTCTTAAGATTGATAGCTGGGTTTTCAAAATTCACAGTTTAAGCCAAAAATATTTTCAGTTTGGTGAGAATAACCAACAGAATTTTAAATCAAGAAAAACTGTATTTGAAAGAGTTTGAGGGCCAGTAAGATGGCTTACTGGGTAAAGCATTTGTCACACAAGCCTGGCAGCCTGAGTCTGATCCCCAGAACACACATAAAGGCTTAAGGAAAGAACTGACTGCACAAAGCTGTCCCCTAACTTCCAAATATGGACTGTGGTGTGGTCGCCCCCTCCTGATAACAGCACTTTAAAAAAAAAAAAAAAGCTTTCTACTCAACAGTCACATGTTAAAAAAATCCAATTAGGGCGCGGTGGCGCACACCTGTAGTCCCAGCACTTGGGAGGCAGAGGCAGGCGGATCTCTGTGAGTTCAAGGCCAGCCTGGTCTACATAGTGAGTTCCAGGACAGCTGGGGCTACAGGGAGACCCTGCTTCAAAAAGACAAAAAAAAAAAAAAAAAAAAAAAAAAAAAAAATCCAATTAAGTATAAATGACATATAAAGATGAGCAAAGAAATATTAAAGACAAGGCTAAGCAAACACTGGGTTCTTGTATTGCAGACAGGGAATTAAGGTCTTGATTAAATTTAAATACAAGTTCATGGAATAACTGTTATAGAACCAATAGGGGAACAGAAATTCACCACTTCTAAACTACCAAAAGGGGAAAAAAATGTAGGTAGGTAAGTAGGTAGGTAGGTAGATAGACAGACAAACAGATAGATGATAGATATGAAGAAAATAAAAGCAGGTTAGAAAGACAAGAAAAAAACAAACATCAATAATCCTAAGAAATGTCAAGGGCCAGAGAGATGGCTTGGTGGGTAAAGGTGGCCGCCACCTAGCCTGATAACCTGAGTTTGATCCCCAGGACTCACATAGTGAAAGGAAAGGATAGACTCCCCACCAGATGTCCTCTGACCTCTACATGTGTTGTGGTGTGTACACACACACACACACACACACACACACACACAAATAATAATTTTAAAAAAGAAATTTTTAAAATGTCAATAGACTACATGTCCTAATTAAAAGCAATGACTGTCATACTAAATTACAAATTGAATCCAAATTTATACTATTAAATATATTTCAGACATGAAGATATGGAAAGATTGAATGGAAAGTGATATATAAATACTTAAAAGATGACATGGTAAATAGAAGATGGAACAGATTTTGGGAGAAAAACATTACTAGGGACAAAAATGCTACATAATGAGTCAATTCCCCAACTTCAAAATCCTTAAAACTGCAAAACAAGGAATCCACTAAGTGCTCCAGGATATTTGGCAAAGTGCTTGCATAGTATACATGAGGCAGGCCTGGGGTTTCATACCCAGTTACACAGACAAAATGCTGTCTTTTTATCAGTAGCCCTGGTGCAAACCTATACTCCTAGTTACTTGAGAAACTAAGGCAGGAAGATCACTTAAGCCAAAGAGTTCATGGCTAGTCTGGGCAACATAAAAAGGTCATCTCTTACCATACAAACAGATCAACCATCACAGTGGCAGATTTTTAATAAAACTTCTTACCTGATAGACCAGGTGATCAAAACAAAGACTTAGGGTGGAAGTATAGCTTAGTGGTACAAGGCATACCTAACATGTGCCAGGCCCTGGGTTCAATCTCCAATACAAGAATCAAAACCAAAAACTAAAAATAGCTGCCCCCCACCACCAAGAAACCATTCAAATCCAGGTGCTTTTACCAGTAATATCCACAACATATTCCAGGTATGATTCTAACCTTAAACTATTCCATAGAAGAAACAGGAAACTACCTTCAACTCATTTTATGACTATCATAACATACATTATAAATTTGGCAAGGTCTAGCCAGGTCTGGGTGGCACAAGCTTGCAATTCCAACTACGTGAGAAGCTGAGGCAGGAAATCAAAAGTTCATGGCCCACTGGGACTACAGACTGAATTCAAATCTGACCCTGACCCCAAATAAAAAGTAAAAAAAAAAGAGAGTTAAGAATCTTATTCAGTGGTAGAGTGCTTGCTTAGAGTATGTGAGGCCACAGATTCAATCCCTAGTACCACACAGAAAAAAGTAATATACTGTGTGATACCATTTATGTTATTCTGGAAAAGGCTTAAAAATCCTAGGGGCAGATTAGTGGTTATCAGATGGACTAAAGGTTGAAGAACAGGTTACTATATAACAGGACAGGGCCAACGACAGGGGTCAGTTGATACAGCTGTGCAAGTCTGACAATCACATACACACAACATACACACATGCAGTAATAAAAAATATTTTAAAATAAAATAAAGAGGTATCTATCTTAAGTGTAGTGGCTAGTGATGATTACCAATTGTCAACTGTCTACATTTGCCAATATTTTTTAAACTATACACTAAAGAGTTACTGAATATAAATTACATTAATAATAAAGGAAAAACTAAACAGAAAAATTTTAAGTAACACATATAAAGTAATTTAGGCATACAAGGGTGGTTTAAAACTGTTACAAAATCAACTAATATAATTCATTACACTAATTAAGAGAAATTAAATGCACAGCTCAATAATAAAAAATAAAGATGGCTACACTTCAGAATCCATTCATAAGGCGGCGCACATCTTTAATCCCAGGGCTCTAGAGGCAGAAGCAGGTAGGTGATCTGTGAATTCAAGGCCAGCCTGGTCTAACATAGTGAGTTCCAGGCCAACTGGGACTACAGGAAGAACCTGTCAGAATTTACAGAAAATTAGGATCCATTAACTGAAATGGACTTGTTAAAAAAACAAAGCAGATACTCCTTTAGCGAAAGAATCTTATTATTAATTAAAATAGTTGGCTGAGCATGGTGGCAAATGCCTTTGATCCCAGCACTTGGGAGGCAGAGGCAGGCGGATCTCTGCGAGTTCAAGCAGCCTGGTCTACATAGTGAGTTCCAGGACAGCTGGGGCTACAGGGAGACCCTGTCTCAAAAAGACCAAAAAAAAAAAAAAAAAAAAAATGTTAATTCCATTACCTTGGTTCGATTCTGTAGAACTAGATTTCAAGGAAAGCTGCTTTGCTCCATCTTTTACTTTTTTCAACCGGTTCTTATCCCCTGGTAAAGTCAATTTTTGCCTAAGTGGTTTTAGTTCAAATGCCTGAAAAGTTTTGACCTGTGCTTTCTCCTCAGGAGCAACTTCTTTATTCGAGTCTCTTGTAATACTGCCATTATCCGTGCTTGTTTGGTCCTCAAAATTCAGTGCTTTGTGATCTTCCTGCACATTCTCTTCTTTGTTACTCAGAGCTAGTTTTTCATCCTTATTGATGCACTCTAGCTCCAATTGTATTTGCTTATACTTTAAAAGTAAATCTTCAAAAGTTTCTTCCCCACAGTTTTCACTTTTGGATGAATAATTCTGTTTTCTTGATGGAGATCTTCCAAAACTTTTGGCTGAACAGCATATTAAGGAAGCCAGTTTCCAAAATTTTTCCAGTTAAATTTAACAAAAATACTTAAGATATAAATGAAATTCCCTTTATTTTCTCAAGATGAACTGGTACTTTTAAACTACTAAATTCCATTTAATATGTCCTGCTAATGCCTGTTTTATGTGTCCATATTGCAATTTAACAAGTATCCATATAAACAGTCCACTTACAAATTCATTAGTGTCAGTAATTACCAGTAGAATGCAGAGTCCACCTAGTTAGGTTATTGCATCCTTCCTTCTGTAGGTACCAAGAAATCACAAAGCAAGCAATGTTAAAGATACCTTTCTGAAGGAAGAGAAACTGAATGGTTTGTCACAGATGTAGACAATTTACACTTCAGATAATCAGGAGGAAATCTTTTATTAGTTTCTTCTCAGCTCAAATTTTTTAAAAAATAAGAGATAAAAATGAACACGACAGTCATTGATTTATGAAAGAGACATTTCTTAAAAGTCTAATAAAAATAAATGAGAACTCATCAAGTACACTAACATTTGATATATGCATAACTAAGATGGCAGCCACGTAACAAAAAATAAAATCTTTAAATGGTGTACTTCTAATTTCAAACAATTCTTACATAAAAGAAGTCCATCCTGGAAATTAACAAGAGATACAAGTAGCTTGCTGTACTTTCAATTATTAAACCATTTGTATTGTCATTGCTCAAAATATAACATGTCTCTTTTTTTAACAATAGGACAAGTAGCTAACAAAGATTTTCAAACTCCCAATGACCAACTGTGGTAGGAAATCTCTGCTTCTCTCATCTCTTCAGGCGACAAGTTTTGTGGGGTTTTTTTTTGGGGGGGGGGATCTTTTTGAGACAGGATCTCTCTATAGCCCCAGTTGATCTGGAACTTGCTATATAGATAGACCAGGCTGGCCTTGAACTCAGAGATCCACATGGCTCTGCCTCCTGAGTATTGGGATTAAAGCTGTGAGCCACCACGCCCAGCCAGTTGTTTCTTAAAAACATTCTCTTTTCAAAAACTTCCTTTCCTGCTATTCCACTAAATGGAATCTGGCTTCTGCTTTTTTTAATTTAACAGAAACTACTTTGGGTTTATAGACTACTGTTTTCAAACTTTATTTCACCTGATTCCACTGCAGCACCTAAACTCTGTAAAGCACTAGTCTCTTGGCTTCGGTAACACTCCTGGTCTCCTAGCTTATCTGAATTTTTTAAGCTATCATAGTTCCTTTTTCTTCAACTCTTGAAGAAAAGATCAGAATTCAAGTCTCTTTTTTCATTTTAACACATTCTAAAGTCTCCCACTGTTTTACCAACGACTAGAGAGGAATTATACCTGAAAAGGTATTTGGGTTCTCTATTGCCCATAAACTATGGCCAAAGTGATCTTTGTAGAATACAAATGTTATTGGATCACTCCCTTTCACTCTCATTTAAATAAGAGCTCAAAATCCTTAGAATGGAATGTCCTTATTATCTGACCTGTGCTTACCTTTCCAATCTTACCTGCACTCTGCTCATCACAGTTTATGTAGTTTTGTACTTAGGTTTCTGCTCTTCAACCTGACCCCAATTCAAGGCACCTCCTAAGTGAAGTCAAAATTATTCTCCTTGTTCATTTATGCTCTATGTACATTAATTACTGCAATTATCTATATTACTGCAATTATTATATCTTACTTTTCAACAGAAAAGTTCTACCTTTTCTAAAGGTAGAACTGTAGTAATAAAAAGCAAATAAAGGGCTGGAGAGATGGCTCAGCAGTTAAGAGCACTGACTGCTCTTGCAGAGGACCTGGGTTTGATTCCCAGCACCCACATGGCAGCTACGAACCATCCTTAACTCCAGTTCCAGGGGAATTCGAAGCCCTCTTCTGACCTCCGTGGCATTGCACAACATGGGTGCACTCATACATGCAGGCAATACACACAAACAGATAAAATAAAAATAATAAATAAAAATATTTAAAAAGGCAAATAAATAGTAAGAGCTTGTAGACATTTGCAAAGGAAATTGATTCAATATACTAACAAAAAGTATCTAATTTTAAACTTAAGATGCAATTTCTGAATGAATTTTTGTCTGCTTGGGACAGGGTCCCTAGGCAGCCCTGGAACCTGCTATGTATACCAGGCAGCAGGCCTTGAACTCAGATCTGCCTGCCTCTACTTCCTAAGCACTGAGATTAAAGGTGTGTACCACCAAGTCCAGCTTTTTTTTTTTTTTTTTTTGAAGTCCTACTTGCCGAGGATATAGCACAGAGATAAAGGGAAAAATAAAAAGAACTACTTAAGCCAGGCGTGGTGGCGCATGCCTTTAATCCCAGTGCTTGGGAAGCAGAGGCAGGCAGATCTTTTTGAGTACGAGGCCAGCTTGGTCTACACAGTGAGTTCCAGGACAGCTGGGGCTACAGGGAGACCCTGTCTCAAAAAGACCAAAAAAACTACTGAAGATAAGTAAGGTGGCAGATGCCTATAATCCTAACTACTGGGAAAGCTAAAACAATTAAGAGCTCAGCTCCTCCAAGTAAAATTTTAGGCTGGAAAGACCATCAGGCTCAAAAAGCTTAATGCTCTGCCAGAGGACCTGAGTTCAGTTCCCAGCACCCACAAGGGAAGGGAGAGAAGAAAAGGGAGGGAAGAAGCAGGGGGGAGGAGCAAGAAGGAGAGGGTAAGAAGGGGAGGGCAAGAGAGGGAGGGAGGGGGTGAAGTAGAGTAGGGAGGAGACTTACAGAGATTCACAAAATGTTTATCCTAGTTCTTAGGTGGAGGCAGGAGCTCAATCAGACATCTTCAGTAAGAATGAAAAGTTGTAGAGAGGCTAATACAGGAAGACTGCTGTGATTGTTGAAGCCAGTCTAGGCTACATAGTAGTTCCAGACTAGATTATGGTATGAATCCATGTCTCTAAACAAAAAAGCTGCAACAGAAGTTACTTATTTTCTTTAAAATTACAAATAAGCTGGACAAGGTAGTTGTAGGTCTTTAAGCACAGCACTTAGGCAGAGGCAGATGGATTTCTATGAGTTGCAGGCAAGCCTGGTCTACATAGTTCCAGGCCAGCCAGGGCTACAGAGTGAGACCCTGTCTATAAATAAATACATATATACAAAAAAACATAAGTATATGGCATAATCTCCAGACAGAAAACAAAGGCAGGAGGGATCACCTCCCATTTGCTGGGGATCTTTATGAGACAGAATCTCCCTGTAGCCCCAGCTGACCTGGAACTCCCTATGTAGACCAGGCTGGCCTCAAATTTACAGAGATCCACCTGCCTCTGCTTCCCAAGTACTGGGAATAAAGGCTTGTGCCACCACACCCAGCTCATCTTTCACCTTCCAATGCTGAATAAACTAAGAAAAAAGTTTTGAATTGTGCCACAGTACTTTTTTCCCCGTCTGATCTTTTTCACTAACCTGCAATCATTTTCATTTGTTTCTCCAACTCAAATTTCAAGTTTCATCTCTGTAAGCTTAAAAAACACATTTTTATATGCTTACATAGCCTTTATGTTTTAAATTCAGAATAGAGAACAAATTTGTGGATGGTTCATGGCTTGCATATAATCTTGGCCAAAGGTTTTCTAATCTTCATTGAAAGAACATTTACTATCCTTTAAAAGGTTATGTACCTATGATTTTTTCCCCCAAAAAATCCTGAAATATTTCTAACCCAATGTTTGGTGGTAGAAGTAAAAGCTTTCCAGGCTCAAAAACCAAAAGCTGCTGTTTTCTTTAAACATCCTTTGCCCCTTTTACATTAGAACATTTAGAAAATGCCATTCTGACCTCAAGTACTCCACAAAAATATTTTTTAAAGTGCTATGTGTAAATTTTATAGAAAAATGAATGTTAAAAGTCATTACACTATGGGAATTATAACTAGCAATCAAAGTGCTTAGTAAACTATTTTAAGCAGGTTGTACAAGACAGGATGTATAAACCCACAATAAAATGGGAACCCTTTGGATGATTAATTTCTGGGCATAAATCCTGAGTAAACTCAGTAATGTTAAAAGATAACTGACAATAAGCTCGTCAGGAATTTGGCAACTCTTTTTTTGGTCTTTTTAAGACAGGGTCTCCCTGTAGCCCCAAGGGGGCCTGAACTCACTATGTAGACCAGGCTGGCCTTGAACTCACAGAGATCCGCCTGCCTCTGCCTCTGCTGGGATTAAAGGCGTAAGCCACCACGGTTGGCACTGGCAATTCTTCTCAATTTCTCCATACTATCCACTTCCTCCCTAACATGGTAATATAAAGATGCTGGTAAGTTTATCTTTCTCTGATCTCCACGTATACAGTGAACACAGGAAAATGAAGTTAAGGGCATAAAGGTTTCCAAAACGATATGTGAATTTGAAAGACCTGAATTAATAAAACTGATAAAAGACAGAGGGTGTCACACTAGCAAAAGACAAATACTAACGTAACTTGAGCTCCGGGAGTACTGCTAAAAAACCTAATTTCACCAATTCCACTAGCTCACCCGCACCCAAGCCACAGTAACGTTGAAAAGCAATACACCCCAAAAAAACAACCTAAGACACACCGGAAGAGTGCGGCCCATGGAAACTACCGAAGAACAGATACTAGTGGTTGGGAAAAGTTAAACTCTAGAACCTGGAAATGACGCGGAAGGGAGCTCCAGCGACACACCCAGGGCGGACCGCCACGTTAAGGATACAGCTCTTGCGAGGTGGAGAGGGCTCTCGCCAGCTCTGACTGCTGCTGAATCCGGATCCCGCTCCTCCTCCCAGAGGAGCTCGGCACCCCGGCTTGCCTCCTCGCTCACCCCCTCCTCGCCCCCGACTCCAGCGACTCCCACCCCGGTAGGGCCGGCCTCGAAAGCGGAAACGGTCCAAAGCGATGTGGCTCCGCTCCCAGAAGGACGGCCGAGGGCTATTTTCCGACAGGGAGCCCGAAGGCATCCGCACCGGAGGCGGATGAGTTCGGAAGGGTTCTTTGGGTCGGTAGCTGCTGTGTCCCCTGAGGTGGCCCCGCTCGGAAGGGTGCCGCGAGCGTGAGAAATTCCTCAGCTGTTGCTGAGAAGAGGACGATGACGAAGACGAGCCGCCGCCTCCGCCGGATCCACCGCCCCGGGCCGGGTGAGGAGGCCTCCGCCGCGGGTACGGCAACAGCCCGCCGCCGCTGCTGCTGCTGCTGCTGCTCCGGCTCCGGATCTGGCTGTTGTTATCGTCGTCGCTGATCTCCCCATCTTCAAGTTCCCCTTCTTCCTTCGGCGACAGGCCACTAGAGGCCGGGGTCGAACAGTCTACCGTCGCCATCCGGGGAGCAGCCCTCCGTCCTGGGACCTGTCGGACAGCTGCTTTTCTCCTCGGCTGCCTTCTTTCTTAACGGCCCCGACAGGCACGGCCTCCCAGTGCTCGGAAGCCTAGGAACGTCTGCTCCCCAACTTCCCCGCACCCCAGATCTCTCTCGCCGGACCACCGCTAGCCAGTTTCCTCTCCTAGCGCCCCCTTGCTGCTCTTCCGCCTCGCGAGAAAGGAGCTGCGGAGGAGGCTGTGTCCCGGGCGTCATTTCCTGCAACATACAGGAAGCCAACTCCCAAGTCCCGCGATAACTGGCAGCGTGTTGCGCTGCTCTCTGGGACTTGTAGTCTCTCTGTGCGTCTGCCTTGCCCTCGCTTTCTGCGCCGCGCACCCGCCCAGGGTCCGGCTTGGGACCCTCGAGTTCGTGTCCCGGTAACCGGTCTGCTCGTTAGTCGCAGACCTGAGTTTCAGAGTCATTAATTGGTGGAGAAGACACCTACCATCTCACTGCTCTGGGACCGCTGCCAGAAACGCAGTGTTTCTACTCTCCTGGGGACCACGAGGGGAGGGGACAACGGGTGTGGCCGCCATGTTGGTGAGGGCGACAGTGGGCGCCGGGAGCTCTGGGATGATGGGGTCCGCGGGCCTAAACCCGCCATATTAATAAAGAGAAAGAGAAGGTGGGACACCCCCGCCCCCGCGCGCGCGCCCCGGGTTCCCTACACGCTCCTTCCCACCCGTCAGTGGGCTCTGAACTTGCGCTGTTTCACCTGCGGCGACTGTCTAGGCTTTGACAGGACGCTTAGCAGTCAGCGCCACGTAACAGGCGTCAGGAGCACCGAATGAGGGGTCGGGGGAGATGCCGACCAATTGCGCCGCGGCGGGCTGTGCTGCTACCTACAACAAGCATATTAACATCAGCTTCCACAGGTAACCTGGGGTGAGGGGGGCGGCCCCCCGAGCTCTGCTAGTCTGGGGACGGTTTGTGTGGCCGAGAGAAGGATCTGACTTTTGTGACTCGCCCAAGCTAGTAGCAAAGAAACATCAGTTTTGTCCTTCTGTGTGTGTGGTTTCACACCTCTGTAAACATTGCCTCCTTTTCCGAGGAAAGTTCACCCAATTTGTAAAAGAAATCCAAGTACTGTGAACATCGCTCACGTTAAAAGTCATGAGAGGGTATCTTAATTTTCCACTCTTTTATTCTTAAATCTTACACCATACCTTGAGGGGAGTGATACCGTAAGACAAATCTAATCCAGTTCAAAATAACGATCACCTTATAAGCCTCCTGTGTTCGCGTTCAAATTAGGAAAATTTCACAAGCTGGAATGCAATGGGAAGCATTTTCTGGTAGTCGTACACTACATTGTAACTGCCGAGGAACTGAGTCATCCCTGGCGGCCATGTAATTAAGCAATGTTAATGAAAGTGCAAAATGCAAGCTTTCACTTCTTGAAAAGGGTCTTTAAAAAGAACCTAGGCTTTATTTTTCCTTCGTTTGTTGGGAACACAGAATTCTTTAGTTGTGTAAAGTCAAAACTCTCCAAAGTATTTGAATACTGTCTTGAATATAATAGGTACTCGGTAAATATTCCCCTTTGAAGAAAGGAAATACTGAAAACTTAAATGAAAACAGTTCTGATTTTATATACCCCACAATATAGAAGTTGCTATCTTGGAATATAGAAAATATATTTGCTCTTTTCCCTTCCTCAACATTACTAAGTGTACCCCCTAAAAGCTGCGGCTTTAAAACTCTTTCTGGTGTTTGTTTTAAACTACTTAATACAAATGTAGTGCTTTATTCATTCATACATCAAATGTGTACCAGGTCCCTAATTGCCTGACATTTTGCTAAGGATGCAGAAAGTTCTTACCCTCCGGCACTTTAGAATTGAATGGAGGAGAAAGACATAATTACAGATGAGTGCCACAGAAAAGACATTCAAAGAGACCTCATTTAGCCTTGAAAGTCACAGGACACTTTGCAAAAGAGGAGACATTTCAAATGAAACCAAAGGATGACATAGTCTTGGTCGTCTATACAAAAGTGTTTTCTATTTTATTCTAAGAGTACTTGAGAAGCCCTGAAGAGTGCAAAAAGAATAACCTGATAAGATTTACATATTAAAAAGACGTCTGGCTGCAGTGTGGAACATTAGAGTGATCCTTAAAATGCTAGTCAAGCATCACTGGACGTTAATTTGATGGAAAAAGAGCCTATCGTAGAACGTTAATTTACCGTTTCCTTCACAGGGAAATCCTGCTACAGGTCAACTGAACTAAATACTGCTACTTAGTTGTGAGCACAGGAGCACTGAATTAGAGGAGGTGAGAGTTGAATGAGAAAAATATAAGGAGCTGTAATAAAAGGGAGTCTAGGCCTGGTGTGGTGGTGTATACCTGTAATCCCAGCACTGAGGAAAGAGATTGGAGGATCACAGGCCAGCCTGAGCTACATAGTGAGACCCTGTCTCAATATTTAAATAAAGTCCACCCTGTGTCCTAGAATAGGATGCTGTTGACAGTGAAGATGGAGAGCTTTTGAGAAATGTTTGAGGATAATATACTGGATTTGGTAATCTGATGTGGAAGATGAAAGGAAGGGGTCTGGTCACTAAAACCAGTGTTGAAGAGATGCATAGGGGAAAGCTGGGCTGAGTGGCTTACTCAGGAGACTGAAGCAGGAGGATTGCCCTAAGTTCCAGAGCTACCAGGGCTACAAAGTAAAAACCCTGTCTTAACAAAGAGAAAAGAAAAAGAGATACACTGTAGTACAATACTATTTCTCTAACATGCAATTAACATTTTTCATGTGTAACCTTCTAAATTAAAGTCTTAAGCCACCAGAGGTACATTCCTATTATCCCTTCACTCAGGAGGTTTAGACAGAAGGATCACTAAGAGTTCAAGGTCAGCCTGGGTTACATAGTGAGTTTGAGACCTAGGCTTTATAATGAGAACGTCTCCACAAACAACAACAACAACAAAAATTAGAAAAATGAGAAATTTAGGCTTTAAGGTAGCATTAATTATAATAAAAATATACTCCCGTTTCATAAATACAATATTTTTTTCTTTTTCTAAGACACCCACACGTACAAATTTTGTTTCTTTAGGTGTTTTTGTTTTGTTTTGTTTTACTTCTTAGCCTATTCTACTCTGTCTCCTCCATAACCTTCTAAATCTGCCCCTCCTAACATGACTTCTGTGTCACTATACTAATTTTTCATGTTGTGTGATCTTTTGCTCAATGAAATAATCTCTACTTTTTAACTATTTGTCACTAGTTTTACTTTTTTTCTTTTTTCTTTCACAAGTGTTTTGATTGCCAGGATGTTTGCCGGTATGTGTGTAGTGCTTATGAAGGCTAGAAGAGGATGACAGAGCCACCACGTGGGTGCTGAGACTGGAACCCAGATCCTCTGGAAGAACAGCAAGGGCTCTTAACCCCTAAGCTGCTGTAGTTTTATTATTTTTTCCTTAGTTTTTGGGGGTTTTTTTCCCCCCAAACCTCTTCTATTAACCCACACCCTAACCTAGGTCCTCAAACTCTTACCAGGTGATTCAACTGTATCTGTGGATACCAGTTAAGTTCTAGTTGTTAAAAAATTTCCCAAATAAGTATCACAAGTCCATATCACTAAGAAGTAAAAATATTTGTAGGCCAAGTGTATACTGTTTCCCTGGTCCCTTGCCAGTCGCACAGATTAGACATTGTTAGCAAACTGCCATCCCACAAACATTGCCCATTTCCTGTATTCCATTTCTCAGCAGATGGAAATACCATCCACCCAATAAGTTGAAAGCAGTCCTCCTTTGATGTACCACCATTCCTTTTTTGTTGTTACCCCAACTGGCCTAGAACTGACTATGTAGACCAGGCTGGCCCTGCCTGTCTACCCCTGCTTCTGTAGTACCGGGATTAAAGGCAGGCACCACCCCAACTGCCTACCATTCCCTTTGGTTTGATTATTGGAACCGCCTCTTAACTGGCTTACTGTTTTCGATTCTGGTACTACTAACCAGTCTTCTGTAATCAGTGGTCATAGCTCAGTATTTAACTAGTGCCTTTCCAGAAAAGAGGACAGGTCTGATTTGTAATATTTGCTGAACTTCTCTAATGCATTTACTCTACCAAGCTTGGTTTCAAGCCACTGACATGACATAACTGATCATGGAGCTGAGAAGAGATTACAATATCACACTATTCTATAGTAGTTCTACCATGGAAACATAAGTAACTTTCAAAGAATAGATACTGGGGCTGGAGAGATGGCTCAGCACCCATGTCAAGGCTCACAACCACTTGTCACTCTAGCTGTAAGGGCTCTGATTTCCTCTTCTGCTCTTTGAAGGCAACTGAACTCGTGCATATACCCACACAGACAATTTAAAATAAAATAATTTTTAAAATACTTTATTATTTTATGAGCATTTTGCTTGCATGTATTTTATATGTATGAGTATTTTGCCTGCATGTAAGAAGAGGCCAGAAAAGGGTGTCGTCCCCACTGAAATTACAGGTGATTATTAACTGCCATATGGATGCTGGAAGCCAAAATCAGGCCCTTTGGAAGAACAGCAAGTGCTCTTAACCACTGAGCCATCTCTCCAGAAATTAGGTTTTCAGTGTTTGTTACTCTTGGTTTTTATTTAATTGGAAATTTATATAATTTAATAAGGGTTATGTTTACAGCAGATCCTACCAGCTCTTGCAGTTCAACTTTTCAATGGCATTTTGACATTTTTGTCTTAGAAAGCCGTCATCATTATTTCATATCATAATAACTACTCCCAAGATACTCTTAAAGTTCTTCACTACTCCCACTTAAAGCCCCTTCTGCCAGATCAGCTTTTCCAAGACTCATGACTCTTCGTAATTACTTTCATAATAACAAATAATTTCTAGTATTTACCTTCTACTATGCCACTATACTAAGAATTTACTCACATTTTCTAATTTGATCTTTAGAAGGTGTGCGTGTGTGTGTGTGTGTGCACTTACATGAGCACACTCTTGCACACATGCATGTAAAGGCCAGAGCACAACCTCCAGTGTTGTTCATCAGGCATTTTTGTTTGTTTTTGAGACAGGGTCTCTCAAGTACTTGGTCAGTGAGCCCCAGGAATCTACCAGAGCTAGCTCCTCAGCCCCATAGAAGCATTCTTACCTCACTTAGTAGATAATTTTAAGACTTAGAGGTTAGAGAAATGGCTCAGCAGTTAAGTATACTTGCTGCTCTTCCAGAGGAACCAAGTTCATTCAGTTCCCAACACCGATGTCAGACTGCTCACAACTGCAGTTCCAAGGGATAAAGGGCCCTCTTCTGGCTTCCATGGGTACCCACACTCACATGCTGATATACACAGACATATGTGCATACACATAATTTTTTTTTTTTAAATCTTGGATCAGGCCAGACATGGTGGCACATGCCTTTAGTCCAAGCACTTGGGAGGCAAGTTTATTAAAGATGCAAACAAAACAACATTGCTTAAACTGCTGAGTGATTTTCCTAAACATCTAATGTTTATAAATGCCTGGATATGTTGTATGGGCAAAAATATATCCAACTGTTACCACCATGTGAATTAATACCAATAGGATAATTTATTACTTAAATTTAGCTGATTGGCTACATCTCCTACCCTTAAAATGTACTGTGAAGAATCAAAATAATGCTGGGAATGGTGGTGCCTTTAAACCCAGCACTTGAGAGGCAGAGATGGGCAGAGCTCTGAGATTGAGGCTAGCCTGGTCTACAGAATGTGTTCCAGGCCAGCTGGGGCTACAGGAGACTCTGTCTCAAAAACAAAAAAGAGTCCAAATAACATATGCAAGGACCAGGTAGAGTGGTGCACACCTGTGATCCCAGTATTCAGGAAGTTGAGCAGGAGGTCAAGGCCATCCTCTGCTACATAGTGAGTTCACTGGGAGTGGCTAGCCTGGGATACATGAGACTATCAAAAACAAAACACTTGCAAAATGTAAGATTAATGCTGTAAAAGCCAGGTGTGGTGGTACATGCCCATAATCGTAGCACTGAAGGTAGAAGACAGGATTCCAGATTCAATGCCTACCAGGGCTATACTGCAAGACCCTGTCTCAAAAAGCCAAGGGCTGGGGATGTAACTTGGTGGTAGAATGCTTGCCTAGTGTACATAGTACTCTGGATTTGATATCTGGCACTGCAAAAAATATGTGTGGATCCCTGGAGCTCCCTAGCCAGCCAACCTATCCTAGTAGGTGAACTCCAAGCCCATGAGAGAGCCTGTCTCAAAAACAAGACTGGTGAGGAACAGCACCCAAATTTATCCTTGCCTCAATGCACACTCATGCACACACAAAAATTAAGGAACAGAAGTCAGGTGTAGTGGTATACATCTGTAATTCCAGTACTTGGGATGTAGAAGCAGGAAGATGTTTATGGATGCATGTGTGTGTGTATGTGTATGGTTCTTACACCTGAAGTGTTTTATAACCATAGTGAAACAATATTTATGTGGATGCTGTGACACACGTGCTCACACACATCTCATACATTGAATAATAACCAAAGACTTAATTAGCTTTTTTATATTGATTTTTTTATTATGCTTGTGTATGTACCATAACCTGCATGTAGAGGTCAGAGGGCAACTGGTAAGAGTCAAGTTTCTGTCCTTCCACCATGTAGTTCTGGGGATCAAACTAAGGTCATGAGGCTTGGCAGCAAATGTCCTTACCCAATAAGCCATCTCATCAGCCCAAAATTTAAAAAAAAAAAGTTGTAATTGAAACTTGACTACATGTGAATGTTTATTCTGTTTGCAAGTCAGTCAACACGGCTAGAATTTTTAGTAAAATTTTGAGAAATAGCCCTTTATATTTGTGTCCTCTTTAAACAGTACATGTTGGATACAAGTGAGTGTATTTCATATGTGAAGTTAGTGGGAAAAGCATAACTACAGAGTATTCAGTTCTGCTTTCTGCTACGCTACATAGCTACATAGCTTAAGAGTTTTTCAGGGGGTAGAGAGATGGCTCAGTGGTTAAGAGCACTGGCTGCTCTTCCATAGGAACTGGGTTCAAATCCCAGCACCCGCCTGGCAGCTAGCAACTGTCTGTAACTCCAGTTCCAGGGGATCCAACATCCTCTTCTGGCCTACCTTCCTTTTGCACAAAGGGTGTTCTTACATACATCCACACAAAACAAACATAAAAATAAATAAAATTTTAAAAATATTTTTAAAGCTTTTTAATGCAGCTTAACATAGAATACAGTAGTTTACATATTTTGTATTTGTATTAATGTAACAAAATTTTGTAGAGTCTTTTTTTTTGCTTGCAAGATACTTTGCTAGGTGTCAAAGACAAGGAGACAAATAATGATCCCTTTCCTCAAGAAACTTTAGAACTTTTGGCCCAGTGAAATGGCTCAGCAGACAAAAGTTGCCACACGACCCTGACAACCCGAGTTCCATTTCCAGAACCTACATTCAAAGAAGAGAACCAAACCAACTCCCAAAAGTTGTCCTCTGACCTCTCTGTACATTTGCCTATACACACACACACACACACACAAAAAAGAACACAGAAATAATGTTTGTTAAAAGAAACAATTTTTAGCCTGTGTGGTATCACACACCTATAATCCCAGCACTGGGGAAGCAGAGGCAGGTGCATCTCTGTTAGTTCAAGGCCAGCCTGGTCTACATAGCAAGTTCCAGGCCAGCTGGGGCTACAGGGAGACCCTGTCTCAAAAGGACCAAAAATAAATAAAAGCAACAATTTTTTTCACTGGAAATTTATGGAACGGAAAGAGTATAAAACAGTGTTGTAATGCAGGAAAGACAGAGATAGGAGTTATCAGTATCTGCCCAGACTTTGATTGATAATCTTTAACGTACCTGGTTTATTTGCCTTAACTGTGTACATAGCAACAGATAACAGCATTTTGAAATTACTCCTGCTTATAATGTTCTACATAAAACTTACCTGCATTAGTTATTTGTGCTTTATTGCCCATGATAAGAACTAGGTTGGAAAGCTCTCTTTTTAAAGCTCTGAAAAACATAACTATTAAAGTCAGGTTTTTACTACTTTTTTTTACAGCTGTATAAAAATTAGTAAATTGGTATCTGGATATTACGTTTAAACTTTTTTTTTTTTGTTTACATAAATAGGGTACATTTTAAATTTTTAACCATTTAAATACGATAGTTTGCCAGTTGGAATTTGAGTTGCTTTTTGTTTGTTTGTTTTAAGGTTTCCTTTGGATCCTAAAAGAAGAAAAGAATGGATTCGCCTGGTTAGGCGCAAAAATTTCGTGCCAGGAAAACACACTTTTCTCTGTTCAAAGCACTTTGAAGCCTCTTGTTTTGACCTAACAGGACAAACTCGACGACTTAAAATGGATGCTGTCCCCACTATTTTTGATTTTTGTACCCATATAAAGTCAATGGTAGGTGATGTTACTCTCCTTTCTTAAACTAATTTTTTAGAACCTATTCCCTTTTGTTTATGCAAATGCGCAATTCACTATTCACAATATATTAAAATAAATATGCAGCGTTACGCCTCAAGAAAGTTGTGGAGCTTCCTCTTGTATACTAAAGGTATAGGCTAGAATTGGAACCCAGGTCTCCTGACTCTAGTTTTGTTTCCCCAGTAAAATCCAAAATGCATTTCAGATTTTGCACTTCAGAATTAGGGGTGTTCAACACAGAAGATCTATGCAAATTTTCCAAAATATGAAATACTTCTGGTTCTAAGCACTTTGAATATAGAATATTTGACCAGTATTGGAACCTCACATTGCTATAAATTATTAGTAATTATCAGTAAATGTACTGTTGACAAAATTGACAAAAATTGGGAAAGATTAGTAATGAAACTTCACTTTCTTCTGCTTTTAAGATGACACACAAATGACACACAAATGACACAAATGCTCTTCTTTAAGAGCAACATATCCAGAGTTATACCAAAGATGTTGGCTCAGGGAGGCTTAACATTCAGTCTAGCTTGAGGACTTGAGAGTTTGGAACATTGGAGGAAGTTTTTGACTATGCATAAGACAATTGTAATTAAATAATTTGTACTAAAGCCAGTGGATTGAAGAATGAATATGAAATTATCAAATGCTGATTTTTTTTTTTTTTTTTGGAAAGAAAAGAAAAAATTAAGGTAGAAGATCATTGAATTAAAATGTAGGTTTAGGGGCTTCAAATACAGCTCAGTGGTAGTTTGTCTAGCATACACAAGGTTACTTGCTAGCACCATAAGAAAGGAGAAAGGGAGAAGAAAGAAGGAAACATTATCTGGTTAGAGAAAATTTAATCAGAAAAGAAAAGCTAACTGAGAAAGACAGTCACTAAAAGGGAGGAAAAGATAAAACAAACACAAATAGAAAGTTTAGCTTTGAAAAAAGAACATTCTTTCCACTGAGGAAGGAAAAGCTATTGTTTGAGTTATTTGAGAAATAAATTTGTAAATAGACATGAGTTGACATGGACATGGGGTGAGAAGGTTGCATTTTGTTGTTAGAAAGCTCAAGCCAGGCATGTTGGTGCATGCCTGTAGTCCCAGCACTTGGGAGGCAGAGGCAGGTGGATCTCCATGAGCTCAAGGCCAGCTGGGGCTATAGGGAGACCCTGTCTCAAAAAGATCAAAAAAAGAAGAAAGAAAGAAAAGGAAGGAAGCTTATTTCTGACTTTCTGACATTTTTTTTTATAATTTATCCAATTAACTTTTTTTTTTTTTGTCTTTTTGAGACAGGGTCTCCCTGTAGGCACAGCTGGCCTGGAGACCAGGCTGGCCTCAAACTCAGAGAGATCCGCCTGCCTCTCCTCTACTGGGATTAAAGGCATGCCCCACGACGCCCAGCCCAATTAACTATTAAACTTTACATTATACCAGAATCTGTTAGATGTTGGGAAAATCAAAAGGGAATAAAAGGAGTCCCTGACTGTTCTCTATGTAGAGACCAACACCAACTGTAGGTGTTATGATGGTAGGAACTATAATTTATTTACCCTTATTTCCTCAGGAATTAATAAATGGTACATGTTTAAGTAGTTGGGTTGGTTTGGGTTTGGGTTTGGGTGTGTTGTTTTTTGTTCTCTTGAGACGGTCTTGCTATTAAGGTAGGCCAAACTATCTCAGATTCACTGTATATAGCCCAAGCTACTCTTGAACTACTTCCCAAGTGCTGAGGACTACACCTACCAGCTTACCTGGCTACAAAATAGCACGCGCGTGTGCGCGTGTGCGCGCGTGCGCGCGTGCTCGCGTGCGCGCGTGTGTGTGTGTGCGTGCGTGTGTGTGTGTGTGTGTGTGTGTGTGTGTGTTTTGCTTATTTTGAGACCATTTCACTGTGTAGGGCAAGGTTGGCCTCAAATTTATGGGTATCCTCCTTAGCCTCCTGAATGTAGAGATCAAAAACATGTACCACCATACCTTGCATAAATGTTTAAATAAATGCCAGACTTGGTAGCACATGCCTTTAATCCCAGCACTTGGGAAGCAGAGGCAGGTGGATCTCTGTGAGTTCAAGGCCAGCCTGGTCTATGTAGTGAGTTCCAGGCCAGCTGGGGCTACAGGGAGACCTTGTCTCAAAAAGACAAAAATAAATAAAATGTTTAATAAATGAAAGGAAATGATGTGATTATCTGAAATTTGTAAGTGGTTTAATATTCCTGGAGCATAGTGAACAAAAGAATCCTTAGCTTTCTGATTTGAACAAAAAGTTCCCAACCAGATTTTTGAATCTTTGAATATTTAATATGAACAATTAATAGGTAAATCTATTTGGAAGTTTGATATTTGAGAATATGTCTCTGTGGATACTTGAGTTTTTATTTACCTAGGCTCCAGGTCTGAACTATTATTCATCAGTCTGAGAGACTAGGAGATCAGATCAATAGTATAGATTAACAAAATGTCTAAGCAAATTCTAATTTGGTCTTAGTGAGAAAATTGCAAAAGATTTTTTAAGTCTCCATAGAATCATATTGAATAAATTGGAAGATACTTTGGAAGTCCGCTGCTTACTTCCAAATCAACATTGGAATATCTCTGGAGATGAAAGATAAGGATTAGAGTTCATTTAACTAGCTGAGAAACCTGATTTTTAAGCACATGAGATAGCATGCTGTTGTTTCTCATTAAACTTTAAAAACAGTGGACACTATTTACTTATACGTGATATTCCATAATTTATGTTAAACTCTCTAATTTCGGCTTAGAAACTCAAGTCAAGGAATCTTTTGAAGAAAAACGACAGTTTTACTGCAAGTGGATCATCTAATTTAAAATCAAACAGTAATCAGCAAGTACTACTTGAACACAGTTATGCTTTTAGGAATCCTATGGAGGCAAAAAAGAGAATAATTAAACTGGA